TGTAATAAGAAAATAGTAATGGGATAAAAGTTTTGTATCTTGTTTGGTTGTCATGTTTGGGATAACTTATCCCACCATTTTATATCATAGTGATGGTATAAGTTATTCCATATGCATGGTGGGATAAGTTATCCTAGGATAGTTAACCCCAAAATAACTAATCTTGGGATAACTTGTTCCCAACCAAACGACCCCTTGTATTCTATCACTTTATAGGTAACTTCTTTTCTCGCTTTTCTATGTGACTTGTACAAATAATACTTCTTTCTTTCGGTAGTCACATTCTCTATTTCCATCACATGACTCCTATTGGTAATTCAAAATTTTGAATTTTGGTTATTAGGAAATAACAATAAGAATATGAAAATCATCATGATTTCTATTCAAGTGGATCGATCTTATCCAGTACTTTCCTCCCTCCATTTTTATTTGTTATGTTGCACTTTTTAAAATTTAATTTGACTAATTTTCAAAGTTAAATTAGATTACGTTAATTTGATATTTTAAACAAAAAAATTAGATATTCAAAAATTATACGAAAAGTACTATACATTGCAATTTTTTGCATATCAATATGATAAAAAAATGCATCATAAAATGTTAGTCAAAGTCTTTATGATTTAACTCTAATTAAAAAGGAAACCATGACAATTAAAAGTGGACGGAGGGAGTAATATACTGTTTATGGTATACATGGACTAGTATACGGAACCATCACCACATGCAACTCATTATGGAAGAGTTTTGACTTAAATGATTGATACACATGCCTAGCTAAAGGCTAAACAAGTAGTAGTACTTATAATATTGTGTATCACATTTCATGCATATATATGTAGCTTGGAAAATGTTGACTAGGTAGGGATGTTTGACACGGAAATCTAACTTCATGTTCAGAATAATTTTAGCAATTAGTTACTGAATTAATACTAGTTACTTTCAGTCTCCATTTAATAGCTATGAAACTGACAAAATGATCTCATTATTTAGCCATTATCATTTTAAACAAGAAAAGAACTTGAAGCGGATGAAATGGATCGGGGATGGACTAAACGGGTAGTTTTCTAAAAGAATCTAGTATTTAAAATTTGGAGCAAGTCATTTTATTTTGAGTTTGCTACGCGTCTCTCTTTCAAATTAAGGATTAATTTGTATCAATATATAATGAGAGGAATATATTTGGGCTAAAAGTATAATGGGAGGGTAATATTTGAAACGAAAATACAATGAGGATTATATTTAAACTAATTCTGATAATAAAAGGATATAGTTAGCCCTATTTCGATCCGTTGTTTTAAATGGGAGGGTTCAAATAAGCTATAGGATGCAATTGCAACAAAAAAAAAACATATTGGGCTAAAAGGTTAACCGATAGATAATATTTAGAACTAGATCAATAGATCAAAGACATATTTGGTCCTTTTTCATAAAAACCATAATGAACCTGCCCCTTTACTTCCTGGCTTATAACTCTAAAAATTGAAGTCTTCGTATTCAAGGAGGATTTTTATACGTTACAATTTCTTTCACATGAGGATCTCTTTGTTGAGCTTTGAGTGATATTGTGAACTGAATATATCCATGAACACAAATCATGACAAAATATAAAACATTTCATTCTTCTTTTTCTGGAATAAAATAGTTCAAATTACAAGAATCTCTGGGTCAGCAAAATTGAATAATTAGCTTTACGAAAAAATCCAAATAAAAAAAACACTCTTTATCATGGAATCCGTGTAATGGTGATACTCTTTAAAAGTAAAAGGAATATATTTCATAGAAGCAAAACATATACTATCAACACGTACGAAAAGAGTAGACCCCAAAAATTTGGAAGTAAAAGGAATCTATATATATTTTTATGCATGAAAGAAAATTTGGGTCACGTTAATTTGTGGGATCGCTTGAGTTGTTATACATTTTGTATGTGTCTACTAAGTGTGAAGCATAATCTCTTACTCTATTGTGCTATTAGCCACAAGTTAACAGAAAAAATGATAATGATATTCAGTGATTTGAACGGAATCTATTAAATTTTATTTGTTTTTACAATCAAGTTTTGAATTTCATGATCATAAAAAGTGTGTATATGTAAAATATGTTTTGAATTTCGTAGATATATATATCAATTATTAAGGTGAACTAAATATTGAATAAAGAACTTGCAAAGTATAGAAATTTAATATTTTTTTAAAAAATGGATTAAAAAAGAAAAGTCACACAGTTTAATTTTTAAATTAAAAGGACGGAATATTAATTAAAAAAAAGAGAATTTTCTTTTGAATAATAAATAAGATAAGAAAGAATAATGTTTTGTTAAGGAGACATGATGACGTACTCTCTAGTCTAATGCCATTAGAAAATGGTGGCCAATTCGTTTTCATATGATGCATAATAAAGGCAAGACTAATCACTAATCTAATTAATTTGTACTTATAATGACTTTATCTTATACCTATTAATAATTGTAAATAGATGGTTATAAATGCTTCAAATGTTATTTCATCACCTGTCAATTAGCCTCTAAGGACTTTCTTAATTAGAAGCAATTGATTAGCAAAAACATGCATCCTTGTCAGTGACTTTAAACAGAATTGATAAACTTGAATTGGATTTGAATTTATATATTGATAATGCAAAGATTAGTTGCATTATCAGTGTTTTAACCTTTTGATGATAAGTTATTTACTGTTCTAATTTCTATTAACAAGCCAGAACTATGTTCATCGTTTGAATTTATTTTTAACATAATTAAATTTATAAATAAACAGATTGAGTAAATATTTTTTTTATAGTTAATTAATGTGTAAAATTTACAGGCCATGAGGATGAACAGTTGAACACTACTTCAATATTTATCTACCTTTCTGTTTTAATGTACTACTTTTTTTCAAGGGTGAGAATATTTTCTCCCTCTTATTTTGTGTAAAGCATCAAAATTGTACGATTTAACCAAGTGCGTCATATATATATATTAACAACCTATTTTTACAAAAAAAATAAAAATTAGTTCTATTGCTCTATTTTTAGACTAAAAATTCACCCTCGCGAGTGAAGAATGATACTCTATAAATTGCTCTCAGTTTAATATATTATCAATATTTTTGATATTTCGTTCTTGAGAAAGAAGAATATTTGAGAGATATGTATACATTAACTTGCCTTAACTTCATTCATGCATGTGATCTCTTAATTTTAAATAAAATTTATAGTTTCAGGCACAAATATTTTCAATTTTCAATTTTAATTCCTCGTGTCTAAAGTTATAATTTAGGCTATGATATAAATAGGAACCCCAAAATTGGCTATTTTGTGCACTTCACCTATTGGGGAATTAGGATGGCAGGATTGGACATGGACTTATAAGCCCAAACTCGTTACAAATTGGAGACCCTAAACCCAATTGATTTCGGATTTGGCTAAACCCAAACCTTCAAATACTGCTTTACTCCTCTTTCATGCCTACACACTCGTTCTTTTTCCGACGAAATCCTCGCACTTCTCTTTCTTCTGGAAAAAAAATCATCAATGTAAGTTGTTTATCTCTTTTCCGTCTGATCTCATGCAAATGTTCTGAATCACTTTTCTATGAATGGAGAAAAGTTTGTCGGTATAATAATTGTAGTGCCCTATTGTAATCTGTTTCTCTGTAAAGTTTTGTTATCTAGCTATTCACATGATTCAATATAATTGTGATTAATAGATAATTTTATATACTTTAGTTAATGAGAAGGGATAGTTAATGAGAAGGGATTGAAGTCCAGTTTAGCACATTGTGATATCCAATTTTGATCTGTTTTTGAGAATCCTGACTAGGTCTATTGGAATAGTGCTCTAGTGTTTATTTTTTCTCTCAATGTGAGACTTGTATATCAGTGTAAGGATGAGTCTAAGATTTAGAGAACATGTAGTTTTAGAGAAAAGGTATGAATTGTTGAGTACTGGAATGGAAAAACTTCGAATAGTGTGGAACATAAATAGAAGATTCATATAATTGTTTCTAACTACTTGAGACCTTTAAGGCTGCAACACGGATATTCATTTGCAATCCTAAGTGATTTTAATCTCAAAGTTTCTAATGTTACAAGAAACAAATTGTTCTAGTTTTCATTGAGGAATTGGATCTTTTTATGATGCTATTTTTATTTTTATGTCATTCTCATTTATTTTTTAAAATTTGTCCAACCCTACTTTTATTGTGTTGAATTATTCCCTTGATTATTTAGGAAATTATAATTCCTATTAGTTTAGGTGACCATTTGTCCTAAAAGATTTGGAAAAGGAAATATTGTCCTTATAGGATTGGAAAAACCTGTTCTTTATAGGTTTGGGACTACCTTTTCCTTATAGGTCTGGGACTACTTGGGATCTATATAATAGGATATGTAGTTGGGGATTCTAAAGTATTGTAAAACTTGTTCTCTTTCTTTCATAGTGGAAAACTTTCTTTCTACTTTTGCCGGAGGAGTAAGCTCAGCCGAACCTCATTAAATCCTTGTTATTCTTTTTCTATATTTTCTTTGTTTGTGATTGTGTGCTTCCACGATATTTCCGCAACATATTGCATTCACCTTTACCATATTAATTTGAGGGTAGGGCTTTCGATTATATCTTCATGTTATATGTACATACCTGTAATTGCTTTATGTCATTTGAGGTTGCTGACCAGTAACAACTTCTGTGCTGAAAGGTGATTTGTGAAATGCTAGATAATGGGTTGAGGTGAGCATCAACCATATAGAATTATTCAAGACATCAATATGTTGAACCATATCTTTCATGGTCTTTAAAGATTTTTGGTTATTAACTTGTTATACATGCATTTTCATTGGTTTCACAAAATGGGCTACATGTCTTATCACACTTCATGAGTCGATGTAGTAAATCATGGTTATTCTTACACATGCATATTTTTAGATAGTTTCTCCTTGTGATGAATATGCATGGTAGCTCTGCAATATTCTTCTCTTACACTGATTTCCGTTGGCTGTAAACAGATAAAGTGACCTAGTACCATGGAAGCAGCTAATGTTAGTATTGATAGTTCTCAAAAAGCCTCTGATGTTAGTATTGATCCAAAACCTCAAGTTATATACCGCTGCAAGAAATGTCGAAGGATAGTTGCATCAGAAGAGCAAGTTGTTCCACATGAACCTGGTGAAGGCCAAAAATGTTTCAAGTGGAAAAAGAGAAGCGACAATCCCTACAATGAGCCACCTCAATGCACCTCTATTTTTGTTGAGCCCATGAAGTGGATGCAAGTTGGTTAGTCTCATTCCTAACTGTTCTTTTATTCCTATACAAAATTGCCTTCTATCCTTTCAAATTCCTAATGTCACTCATTCTCATCTAACAGTGGAAGATGGTTGTGTCCAAGATAAGCTTCAGTGCCTGGGTTGCAAAGCTCGGCTTGGTTTCTTCAATTGGGCAGGCATGCAGTGCAACTGTGGAGCATGGATTAACCCTGCATTTCAGCTGCACAAGAGTCGACTAGATGAGTGTCATCTTTAAATGTTTTCTATTTATTAGTTATGTAAATCAGTTAAGAACTAACAGTCGTCCTACCCGCGACTTTTTTTTATTGGAGTATTTGATGTAAAGTTGATCACAAGCAATTATAGTTTTAATGGAGTTGCTAACAATATCGTTCGTCTCTTTAAATATGTTGTTCTGTCAAATGTGCTTACTGCTCTATATCATTTGGTGAAGAGAGTTCAGGAAGAAGAATACATAATGTTTATCTCAAAGAACAGGACATTGCTATCAGAAAACGAAACATATTATTTTTAATGCCAAACAAAAACTGCAATGCTCCAACACAAGGTCAATTTTTGTTATTACCAATTGGATACAAGTGTAAGTTCTAAGGATGATCAGAAAATATGCATCCCTTACTGACCAGCAGCAAAAGCTTCAGCTGGAAAAGTTTTGGTGATGCCAGCCAGACTCTTGATTTGAACATTTCCAGTAAGAGGATCATCCACAGTGATCTCATAAGCTGGAAGCCATAACATCAACTCCCTACCCTTCACTCCCTTGAGGTTCTTGATTCTCCTCTTTTCGACGTATCCACTCATTTCTGTATCATAACTTACCAGTTTGCCGATCATCTTGAACTTGTGCTCAATTTTTTTTTCTTGCTTGACCCATATGTAGCCTGTGTTCTTCACAAACCCCACTTCGATCACATCAGCAAGATGGAGTAGCCCCAATGGGAGTTCGAATTCCTCCATTAGGGAAAGTGCCATTTTCAAACCTTCTTCATGCCCCTTGTTGATAATTGCTCCTTCCTTCTCTGCCATAGCTGCTGCTACCTTTGAATTCTCACAACAATCGCTTCTTCTTGATCACTATTTTTGCTGAGCGAAACTGAATTTACTGTGGAAAAATCAATGAAAGCTATGATGGTTGTTCACCATATCAGATATGATTCTAAATATCTGGCAGAATATATATATATATATATATATTATTACTATGCAAGTCTGCAACACATGCAGCTCAAGTCATGCTTGCAATTATCTAAATATCTGGCAGGATATATATATTTTATTACTGTGATAAGAATGGCTCAAAAAGAAAATCAATGAAGCTTTTGCTTTAGGCCTCCAAAAATTTGAGGGCCCATTAATAGTGAACTTTATGAAATATATAAATTTTTGATTAAATTATAAAAATTATAAAAAATTACCTACTCTTTAAATTAGATAATATTTCAAAATTTTAAATTTAACCACTCACATCTTCATATTATTAAATAAAATTTAATACTAACATTATTCAACCGATTGTACTGCAAATAAATAAGATTAACATCTTTTAATAAATTAACATCAATCGGCAATGAACTTAAATCAATTCCTTTACTTCGTTGATTTTTTTTTTTGACTAATTGTCTTGTTCTTTCAAGTCGGTTGAAGCTTGAGTTGTTAAAATTGACTTTGAACGTTTATGATTTTTTTAGAATAATATCGTTGCATTAAATTTAGACTCTCCATTAAATTTAGACTAATATGATGTGATCTGCACAATTAGTAATTGAGGATCAAATAATAGACGATTGCGGACAATTGTAATCAATTTAATAAATTCTAAATTGTTTCACTGTAACAAGCCAACAGAAAAAAAAAAAATTATTATCATGAACAAATAAAAATTTAAGCACGTAATAGTTTAAAATAGAATAGCAAAAAATACTTGCATGATGCGGAGAGATTTGAGATGCCAAATAACGATGATTGATGAACAAGACCGGAAAGAAAATTGAAGAAACTCACAAGTCACAAATATACAAATATAAGGATTTAAGGAGTCAATACTATTTTTATGTACTATAATTCTAATGGATAAAGGACTCAAAAAATTTGAGTTATATTTTAATTTATTTTTTTAAAAAAAGAGTAAGTTAGATATGAATGAATTAAAGTGGTAAAAATACAAATAAAACGTGTAATTTTGAGTTTTATTTTAATTTATTTTTTTTAAAAAGAGTAAGTTAGATATGAATGAATTAAAGTGGTAAAAATACAAATAAAACGTGTAAAAAAAACCTAGAAAAAAAGTAGATTGTTGAGAATCGAACCCGGAACGTGAGGCATAAAATGTGGCGCTTCTGCCACTTGAGCTAATAGTGTTCTGATATGGGTGTCCTTTTTAATTGTCTTAACCTTAAAAGTTTTTTATTTTATTTTATTTAATATAGGTATATTTCGAAAAAAATTTCGACAAAGCCGTGTCCCGTGACACACCTTACCTATGCCTAAATCCGCCCGTCTGCAACACATGCAGCTCAAGTCATGCTTGCAATTCAAGGTCTATGTTGACCGGGTTAGTTTGAGTTTCTCAAATATCAAACTAAACTATTTGTGTCAAAATTAATTTTAAATTTATAAATCTAAACCAAACTAATAAAACTCGAATTTTTTTGGATTTTTCAACATCGGATTTTTTCGGATTGGTTCAGATTTTTCAAGTACCAAACCAAACCATTTGTGTCAAATTTTTAAATCAAACAAACTAATAAATCTCAGATTTTTGGATTTTTTCGGTATAGTATTCATACAAACATGTAATTAACTTGTGCTCCAAATATTTCTTAAGTCCAACCAAAATACAACCATCCAAGGTGTTTTTTTAATAAAATAACACAAATATGAGATGAGTGATAACACTAAAATATTCAATAAAAAATAATAATGAAATCGTATAAAATTAATATTGCAAATTAATGAGTCATAATGAAAATGATCATTATTTTGAAAGTACTAAATCATGCTAAAATAAGTCTAATACGTATTAATTGCATGATTAAACATTAAAAAAAATAAAAAATTAGGTTATGTATTTTAAATGTCTAAACCACGGTAAAACTAAAGAACAATTATTCAACATTATTGTCATTCTTAGTTTTTGAATTAATTTATTTTGTTAGCATTGGTATTCATTTGATTTTGAATTGAGCTTCATTAGAATTACTAATATCTATGTAGCATAACCTTTATCGGACCATTCAAAATTCTAAGTTTCAAAAAAACTTGAAAAAAATATGTTAAAAGATAAAAATTATGAAAACGTATAAGCAATATTTAGAAATTATATCAAAATAAATACTTTTATATATAAAATAAATTTTAAAAATTATATATATAATGTCAGGTTGGTTAAAAACCAAACCAACGTAAGTATAGTCGATTTTTTTTTCCAATACAAAATCAAGTCAAATCAAACCATTAGTTAGATCTTTTTTTGATTTGACTTAATTTGTGATTTGATTCGATTTTTGATTTGATTTTGTACACCCATACTTTGTAAGTAAATATTCTCTCGTTTTTCAAATTACAAATCAGAAAATAGAAATACTTTTTCAACTCTTTTGATTCTTGATTTATCAATAGTTATCAGTTTTCACTTGCTGCTTTTAAGTTTTATCAAATGCAATTTGTCAGCCCTTTTCTTGGTTCATGCCAAGATGATGACAATTTTGTTGCATCCAAGGCAATGGTTTCTTTTGGATCGACTTATTTTAGGTGCTTGTAAGTTCTTTTGTAATGTTTGGATGAGACAAAAAAAAGTGCTTTAAACACTTATTTTTGTTGGGGAAATATGGATATTATAACAACAATAATATAATATTTATTTATAAGTTAATACAAGCAATGCTTGAATCGTGCTAGGCACTGTCCTAAGAAACTATTTCAACTACATAAAATGTTTCCTCAAAATTAAACAAGCCTTCTCTATAAGAGGAACAGGAACAACAAAATATAATTACTACAAAAACCAGCAAACCTGAAAGATAAACTGTGAATTGCTTCGTTGTCCTCTTGTCATTCTGAAGCCTTCGACTCCTATTTATAGCAGCAACAACAAAGGTGAGGCTTTGGATACAATTGTGAGTAGCATGTGACAATCATGTCACTTCATATGAAGAGCCATATACCATCACATGGACTTGCCAACTGCCAAGTCAATATTATCCTTGGCCACAAAGTAACATATTGACCAATAATTAAAAAAAAAAAAACTTTTAAAAATACAAAATATTTTCAACAATTTTTAAATCAAAATAACAAAATAAGCCAAAAACCATAAATTAAAAACTGAAGTATATATACATCAAAATAAGGTACAAGTATTATAGCATACTTACATAATTGATCAATATTCTTGGAATTTGTATCATCAAGTTTAGAGAAGAATCCTTATCATCTTTTGAAGCCCTTCAAATTTTGTATGGTATATATACACACCAAGCCATCCTTCCCGTTTGTACTTTATTTACTCTCAGCAAGCAACATTCTAACTTGTCTTAAATAATCACCAACGTGTTGATAACCAAGGATACTACCAACTTGAAGTTGAAAACTATCATTTAAGATACTATCAAGATTTTAAGCAATGCTAATTATATATCATATATCCCATTGTTTGAGAGAAACAAATACTGTGGCTTATCACTTCGCTAATTAGCTGCTACTGGTGGAGACGGAACCTTCTACCTCTCATACCAACAATTACCAAGGGAGGTTAAAAGTTTAATACTACTGGATAAACAACAATTTCCTTCGATGAGAATGAACTAGATAAGAAAAGTGTAATTTTTTGTCGGTTAATATTTTACATGCTTAGTATGAAAGGAACTTGTATAGGCTAATTCTTTCATCATAATTTTTTGTGCTACTTGCTTCTCGTGTTCCTTCAACAACAAGTAGAGGTTAAGTCCATGTCCCCCCTCTAACTAATTGTAACTTTTTGTTATGAATAGCCATGGTCAAGCCTAACCTCCCACACCTTAGGTCCACAACCCACAGAGGCGTATCCAGGATTTCGACTAGATGGGTGTACGATTACGAAAAAATATATTTTAAATATAAATTTGATCAATTTGACTTTTCGTTCGTATATGAACCATTAAATTTTAAAAATTATAGGTTCAAAATGTATAATACTACTAATTTTAAATTTTAATATACACATTTGATTTAATTATATAAAAAATTTACAATATTAAATTTTTTAGGAATTTTCAATATAACACACTTGAAAATTTTGAAAGATTAAAGGAAAAAAACAAAAGCAAAATTAGCTGAAACATCAAAAGTGTAACCGATAATCACTTGGAAAGGTGTTACTCACAAAGACAAGATAGATATAAGATTTAAATTTATATCCTCACTTAGAAAGGTGCACCCAATCATCATCGCATTATTATATGATATACTTTGAACATGGATTCACACATCTATATTTAAATATTTTTAAAAAAATATAACACTACTATACATGATCTAGAGAGGGGAGCATGGGTTCACGTGAACCCACGGTACCCCCTCTAGATACGCCTCTGACAACCCAGATGATGGCTTATTAAAAAAAACAGGGGACTATTGTTTTAAAAATCGGTATCATGATAATGGCCATCTAAGGTTGGTTGTATTATCAAGCCTAGAATGAATTTATTTGTTATTACAAACTATATAGTAACATTACCAACATGAAACTGAAGACGCTCATTCGTGATATAAGTCAATTCAATAGTGGAACTTCCGTGAATATTACTCACTGTTTGCGAGAGGCAAATCAAGTTGACAACTTTAATTTCTTGCTAAATTGGCATCCTCTAGTTAGTGGAAACAAAACCTTTTACTCCTCTCATCGTCAACTTCCCAGAGAGGTTAAAGGTTCAATTCAACTGGATAAATGACAATATCCGTCCATACGAAGAAGATACGAGAAAAACAACTTTTTGTTAGCTAAAAAACTTTTGGTTTATAGGAAAAGATATTGTATAGGCTAATCCTTT